GACATTGGTACTGCATACAAATCCTATAATTGACCAAACTCTTAATATGAGTTTTGTTTTCTTGTTTTAGATACAATATGCCACCAAAAAAGAAATTAAAATTAATAATAATGCTTGCAACTTGTCAGATCCTCAATCAACAGCAAATATACATAATAAACGGGACTTTAATTCTAAAAAGAATGCACAATGCCTGCAGAATCACCACTAAAAAAAGGTGGTAATAAAAGGTTCAATAGAAAGCGATTGCCAGATGCAGTTACATCAGTAGAGTGGATGCAATACTGGAATGAAAAAAGTGAGGAACAAGAAGAAAAGAAAATAGGAAATTAGCAAGAGAAGAAAAAAAGAAGTTACAAGAGTTGAAAAATGTTTAGAAACCTAAAACAAAACGAGTAAAAAAGAGAGTTCAGAATAGAATTGATTCTGATTCCGATGAGGATAATTTACCTTTGATCAATTTAATTACAGTAATAAAGATAGATCAGACGAGGAAATAGGATCATATGTTATAGTAAACTACGAGAGGAGTATTTTCCCAGGATTGTCAAAAATATTGACCAAAAGAGTAAAGAAGTTAGTACGATGATGATATCAACTTCTAATACTTTTAAATGGCCAGATAAAGAAGATAAAATTTGGTATGCTAATGACAGCATAGTGGAGAAAATTAATGCTCCTGTGTCAATTAATAATAGAGGTTCATATGAAGTACCAGAAATAACCAAGTATCTTTTTTGGATCTGATTCCTTTTTTAATTTTGCAGTTTTTAATTTTGAATCATTACGTGAATTTAATGATGAAACTTAAATATTTTTTAAACAATTAAAAAAAATATTTAATTTTGATATTAACAAAGAATTACTTAACCAAAACTTTAGATTGTTTAAAAAGTTCAAAGTTTAAGTGAAGTTATGATTCGTTATTTTATGGTGATTTGAAAATGTGCCATTTAGATTTAAGATTTACTATTGTGATTGTTGAGACTAACCTTAATTTAATTTACTTATTGATCTCAATTAGTCCTAAGAACAAACCATAAAGTTGGTTATAAAATACGTCTGCTTTTAATTGTGAATGTAGTTATTATTTCACTTTTTTATAAATGGTCAACCTCTGGTACAAATCTTGATAACAACTGGGGCCGGCTGGTCAAATTAGGGTACATCCCAGTTTTATACCGATTATCTTGAATAATAAAATAAACAAAAAGAAATCAAATATTTTCCTTCCCAAATACAACTTATAACTAGATAACTTACAATATAAAAAATAAACTAGCAATAAATATCGCTGTTAGGCTATATAGCAACATTTTAAAGTTAATAATTTCCTTTAATTGGTTTGAGACCGGGACATCCACCCTATTTAGTCTTAAATAAAATACACAGAACTTTATGTAGTACTAGCGGCCCGCCCTAGCTTCGCTTCGGTGTAGAGCTGAAGTGTAGACTACAGTTTTTGTTCTCAGTTTTGTATTATATACAATGACATTCATCTATGATTCTTCTTATACCTGCATGCAAAGTCTCAACCCGATCGGTTTAAAATTGACAAAGTTTCATACAAACTTTCATTCCTTATTTCATCCCCTTGGGGGTAGAACTGATCAAAATCCTTTCTTAGCGGATGCCTACGTCATAACATCTACCTGCATGCCAAATTCCAGCCCGATCCGTCCAGTGGTTTGGGCTATGCGTTGATAGATCACTATGTCAGTCAGTCAGTCACCTTTGAGTTTTATAGATATAGATAAAATATAACTACTTAACTATATAGAATAAAAAATAATAAATCCATAAACATTGTGACAGGACTAAGAAACTAATAAATTGTGACAGCTCTTGATTCATTTCCGTTTTGCATTTAACTAGATAGCTAACCGGGAACAACGTTAGGTTCCCGTGGGATTCTAAAAAACTAAAACTAACGGGAATGAAGTCACAGACGCGGCCGCATAGTTTTTATATATTCCCAAAAAACTATATTGAATATCTGTGTATCACTTACCTATTGTTTAATAGATTTTCTTTAGTCTTCTCATGACTTTAGTTTACGTACCCAGTTTTTATAATAAATTTCAAAAAAATATAAAGATGTGATTATGAATTAATTAATAGCAATCTGTACTCAATATTATTATTAAAATAAAATAATTTAACCTATTACCAATACCCTTACTATTTAAATGAGAAAGACGGAGTGTATCTGAAATGATTTCACGCCCAAACTTTAGAACAAATTTTGATGAATTTTAGTAAAAAGATAAAGGGAAGTAATAATAATAAGGAGAAGCATTTAGCCCACTGTTTGAAATAAAAACAATCATAAAAGATTTTTTATTGTGAATGAACTTCCTGTATTAATTTGGGGTATAATATTATTTATATTAATAAAATTAATAAAAAGTAAAGTTAAACGTAATGAAATAGCGTGCATGTAGACGATGTAACGAGAACCATTTAGTCAAATAAAAAAAATAGTCATTGAATAAAATATATTTACAGATCACAATGAACACATAATCAAGTCTTATCTCATTAAAATGTTTAAATTTTTTGTTATTTTCACGAAACTTTACAGTATTAAAGTTTTCAATTTAAATGAGATAAGACTTGATTATGTGTTTATTGTGTTTATTAGATATAATAAAAAGTGACGTCATATTTGTTAGTGCACAAGGTTCAAGTCCCTATAAGATGATAATCTGGCACATACGAATTATTCCGAATACTCCTTAATGTCATTATAACTAATTCTGTAAAACTGTAATTCCTACAGCTGCGAATAGCAGCAAACTTATTTAGTGCCGTTGAAAAAAAAACAGACTAAAACGTAAACGAATGGTTTTAAGGTACAAAATTGTGTAAAATAGCATTGCAGCCGTGGAAATTTACGATTTTTAATCCTATTTCCCGATGTCAGAACGTAGATATCTGTCAACCCATTGCTTTGTGACGGAGCGGGCGCGCGGCGGGGAGCCTCGAGATAATGTAAAGATTAGATGTAAATCTCGGAGGCACTACATTGTTTAACGGACCAGGTAGGCCCGCACTCCGTTTGGCGATGAAGTGTTTCAAACAATGCATAAACAACATTATTTTGCAGTAACACGATTATGGAGAAAAAAAATAAACGACTCAAGTATAGTAGGCATGATTGACAGTTTAGAGATGTTCGTACTTGAAGAATGCTTTCTGGAATGAAATTGTAATTATTGCTGAATGTATGCGAAATAACCTTCTGCTTATGCTCCTATGATATTTTAGTCGTATACGACAAAAAGTGTAGGTACTTAAAGGGTTTATTTGTTTGGATATAACACATCGCCACGCTTTATTAACTATTGGATTAGGCGATAATCCAATAGTTAATAAAACGTGGCGATGTTTTATATTTATTAGTGCATTGTCGGAAGGCACGCGAAGGCATTTTGAGACACTTTTCTGGCAAAAAATGCCTGCGGTTTTTTAATTACCAACGTCAAACTGTCACTATGTTCAGATGAACACTGATTAGACAAAACATGATGTGATGGGAATTCGCTCATTCGAGTGTAGACAGATTTCAGTGCGGTCAAACTATGCTAAGGACATAATCTAACGATTCAAATCTTTGTATTTACCGTATTTACTCACCGTTTAAAACTTTCCTGGTCTACGCCAAATATTTTAAAACCAAAATCAGCTAAATCGGCCCAGCCCTTCTCGAATATTAGCGAGACAAACGAACCACAATTGATTTAGATAATAGCTTTTGAGGCTTTGAAACATTCCTAAAAGTGACAATAATCATAAATTAGTTATTCTTTAAATTGATAAATTAAAAACGATAAGAAGAAAACTATAAAGTTATATATAGGCGCTATATATAGCACATAGCGACATCCCTTTCTTACTGTACTCAAGTAAAGATCAACACTAAGCTGTCATTCTGTAATACAGGCCTTAGGTTTTCACGCATACCACTCATTAAATAAAACAAGTTTCAACCATATAGATGCACTGATTTATTTGTTTATGACTCTCTCTTTATGTTTTCTTTATATCTAACTAGCTGACCTAACTTCGTACCGCCCAAAAGTCGATGAATGTGGTTTCTTTAAAATTTTAAACAATTTAATGAATGATTTTACAGGCGCAGTAAAACAAAGACAAAAAGTTAAACAGTTTATAAAGATAATATACCTATTAGAAAAAATGAAATTTCGTCACACTAACTCAGTTTTTGTCTTTTGCAAGCGTATGATAAAGACAACACTCCAATAACCGTTTTTGTGAATAGAGTTGATGAATTTTTTTGCTCTCAGTCCAGCTTAGGTAGTTAGTTATTCAGTAGCTCAAAATATTTTGTAATTAATACCAATTATGATACATAATAGAGGAGGATGTACTAAATCTGCTATATTGATAACCCATTTCTTTTTTCTTACTTTGCTCGTAAAACCTCCATTAATAAGTGCTGCAACGATGTACAAAGAATAAATACAATTTTAAGTAGTTGAATATTAAGCATGTTTTGCTGCTATAAATGTAATAATTATACCTAAACGGAGGGACCGCAATAAAGACTGCCTGCGGACGGTGCAGTCTGACCACAACCAACTGGTTTATCATTCATAAAACTATTTTAATAAACTATAGATGCTAAACCACGCTCATAAAAGAGATTGGAGCCAGGCCTAACAAATAAAGTAAAATTAAATATACACGAACACAATCGAAATTTTTGTCTCAGGCGTATAAAAATGTCCTATAAATTTACCCGCAGTTTAATTTAATGTCCAAAAGTACCTGCCTCACATTTTTTTCACATTATGAATAAACGCTCGTCGCTGGTTATGGGTGCACGAATGCATGTTATTATTTTGAGATATGGTTTTGAATTTGTCTCGACTCGAGAGGTTATAATCGCCTTTTGGTTGGGATACATTTTATTCATTAGGTACTTATTTGTTTTGTTTTAAAAATGATTATAACATTTGCTTTGTTTTGCACAGAGTGTCATCGTACGAAGAGAGTAATGGTGAGCGACTGCGAGAGTATTTGACAAGTGAGAGAGGCGTCATCGTGAGTTCGCCGGCGGTCGCGCCGACGAGGGTAGCAACAGCGGTGTCAGCGGGCAGTCCCCGCCGCGTGGATGGTGGCGGGCGAATGGGGCTATGCGCCGGCGCCGGCCGCCCCCGCCATGAACGCCTTCCTAGAAACCAACGCGCACCTTGCCTCCTACGGCCTGAAGATGTCACCGGACCCCGCCGGCCCGTGCGGCGTCAGCCCGCAACATCGTGCCGCCGCGCCGCACCCGCCCCCGCACCACCCGTCGCACTACCAACCATACCCCCTACATTCCTACCAACCCGGCTACTTGAGAGAGTATGGCGGCTGCGGCGAACTATTCCCTCAACAACCGCTCGAACAGACCTGGGATTGGCGGGGAGACGTCCACTATCAAGGCGGCGCACCACCTCTAGTACCGCACGCGCATGCGCACGCCCCTCACGCCTTCTTGCGCTATGTGCGCGCTCCACCGCGGCGCGACATGCGCTGCCAGTGGCTCGACCCCGAACAACCGCCGCCGCGGAAGCTGTGCAACAAACTTTTCTCGAGTATGCACGAAATCGTCACGCATTTGACAGTGGAACACGTCGGAGGGCCAGAATGCACGACGCACGCCTGCTTCTGGCAAGGCTGCTCAAGGAACGGCAGGCCTTTCAAGGCGAAATACAAATTGGTGAACCACATACGTGTTCACACAGGGGAGAAACCTTTTCCGTGCCCCTTCCCTGGCTGCGGCAAAGTGTTCGCAAGATCAGAGAACCTCAAAATCCACAAGCGAACACACACAGGTAAGTGAAATTGACATATACTCATTTTATCTTACTTTCACTTTGATTTGATTTGTCATTATAACTTAGCACCGTCAAGATTTACCTACTTCTGTTCGTCTGGTCCATTAGAATTATCGAGACGTCACCGTTGAGGCAAAAGAGTGTTGATCCGCCAAAACAATTTGTTTTTCATTAATTTATAATGGACTGCCCCCCAAGGCGACCACTTCCACGGCCGCGATATTCGAACACGCCTCGACAATAACCGAACAGACACAATCGCATCTTTCACTAAAAGATATGTCAGAGTGGATCCTTGTAACACGATAGGAACACAAACAATGCTAACTGGCGTCGTATGTCCGCAGGCAGACAACTTGTGAAGTCCGATTCTCAGTACTCCCGTCCCCCGACAAAAACTCAGTGCCATTCGGGACACCATTTTTCAATTCATTACAAAAATAGATTCATCTAAACTGTGTAATGTTAGATAGGAAAAAAGTGAATAATCATAAATTAAAACGTCCAGTTCCGTGGCTGTACCGTCCCTCTCCCACCCTGGCCATTGTTGTTGGGTAAAGTATTGGTACTTAACTTTAAATATTGATTTTTAAAGGAACGTCCAGGAATTCGTATGCTGGTACTATGGCCAGATGTCGTTTTTTTCGACTATGTGTTGCGTTTAAGCTTTTGTACGGTCTGCCCCCGTCGCCATTATCTCGTGTGCGCTATTGAAAAGGACCTTTCTGTGGGGAGTTTGTAGAATTGTTTTATGACTGCCTATAAATTAGTCGGGAGACACGTTGAGGTCGTGGTGAACAAGGAACCCATTGGTATAATGAGTTTCATTAGTCGAGTCGAGAAGAGACGAGATTGTTAATAGGGTGTCGTATTTAACTTTTCTTTGCAAATTATTGCTTCCCTGTTTTATATTATATGTGCCTACCTTTATACATAATTTTCAATCATCATGCTATTAGGTATGTCTTTTGAATGGTAGACAGAACATTTAGATTGCACAGAAATTTTAAACATAATTTTTTATTATTATAGGTGAGGGAATTCCTGAATACAGATGACTAGATTCGGATTTACCTCTAAAGTTTTCAAAACTGTTACTCTTTATAATATTAGTACTTACTTAAAATATAGATAGCTTACTCTTAATGATATGAAGCTGTCTAGATACATAAAGAAAGCCATGCTATCAAGTTGCCACAAACTGTCAATTTTCTCAATAGATTGTAAATCTTCTGTTAGGCAATATAAAGTTACAAGTCATTTGGATAAATTTGCCAATTATAACGTGACCTGTGGGTGTCTGTAAAGTAGATATAACTTAAGCTCACTTGTTACTTGAATAACAAAGAAACATTTAAAACTTTGATGTAAATTAGATAATGATTCTTTAAACTTATATAAAACTAAATTCAAGTTTAAATTTGACAGCAGATTTTTCTTTTCATTATAAATAGAGCATGATAAGAACATACTTCTGTCGAATTCCAGAATCAGCCCCATTGCCTCTCTAATACTTATTTCATAAAGTCGAAATTTGTAATCGTCTTTTTAAATCGATACGTGATTTTTCTCTTATAAATTGAAGCGTAATATAAAACAATCGAGGCACGCGGTGCATATCATTTGTATACTGGAGCCGCAAGGCGTATGAAATTGATATTCTTATTACGAGTAAACTGATACTTTTCGTATCGGTAGCTAACGCCATATGATTCAATCCAAGCTTGAAATATATTGACTTTATGTTTTTATAAGAGTTATGCGTAAGTTAAATGACATTGAGAACTTTTTGTAATCGATTTTTGTGATGCGTTATATAAATAAGTTTACTGTTTTTAACCAGGTTAAGGTGTCGATTCTCGCATGATTATTATCTTAACTTAAAACTAATTTTAACAAAAATCTCTCCTTTTCTGCTGTTTAGTGATTGACAGGGATACTGTTGTCAAATTTAAGATTAGGTTTAGAGAATCACGCCAGAATCGACACCATTAGGTAGTTATTTTACCGGTATAAAACAAAGTCGTGTTAGTTACACATACCACTTATAATTCAAGTAAGCCTAAACCGATTTAAAGTGTTCTAATGTTTTTCATTCGTCTCTGCCCCGAATAACAGGATAACTAATAAAATATCGGAAAAATCATATAAAATAGGTTTGTAGAAAATTATTTTTCAACTTAATTAGGTAAGGTATTCTGTCCTCTTCCACAATTGACAGTTCATGTCACGCAAATGCAAAACTTATTTCTGCTGCTTATTAGTAACTACCATAATATTATTTTAAAATAAAAATCGAAAGCAAAAAAATTACGAAAATACGCTACTGAAATCGAAATAAATAAAGCGAGATCCGGGTTTTTTGTATTTGTTCAATTCCGGTTGTAAAATTGGTAATTTAATTAAGCTGAAATTTTCATTGACCATTAAGCGGTACGAAGCCGGTTCAGCAGAAAATTTTATAATATTAGGTAAGGTTAAGGCTACATATTACGAGACTCGCTTAGTGCGAAGCTTAGAAACAAGGTAGAAGCTCTATACAAATCATGCAAAAAGGTCGTTTGTAGTCTGGTTTATTGAATAGTATACAATACGTCTATTTACGATAAGCCTCATAGAGAAGGTAGAGTTATTATTTCTGAATTTTCGGAAATCGGAATTGTGTTTTTTTTATTGAAATCTGCAGTCGTTGGGTAGTTTACTGTCTCGAGCTCCTCCATGCTTCGGAAGGCACATAAAGCCATTGGTCCCAGCTGCATCTGGAGTCGTCAGCACCCACCAATCCGCACTAGGCCCGCGTGGTGGTTCATGGCCCAATCTCCCTATTCATAGGGAAGGCCTGTGCCCCAGCAGTGGGGACATTAATAGGCTGATTGATTGATGAAATAAAGGACAAAGGTCATTCACTCAATTAAGTACTAATATTCAAGTAAGGCAACAAAACAGACCAGTATTGTGTTATTTTACACCGAGTCCGAGTATGCAGCTGTCTTTCTACTATTCGTACTTCGATGGTTCTATGTATATAAATAATTATTATTTAATTACATATAAGCAAAGGAAATCCAAGTATATTTTGACATTCTACAACGAAGGTATTTTCCTCTGGACCTAGTTGAAAACTTCAAGCAGTCACTGAATTATCTAAGGTGATAATAATCTATAATGTCGATTCTTCATACCGGTTTATAATAAATGTCATGTATCAGAGAATAAAAAGGTAAACCACACCGAATGTTAAAGCCTTGTAAGCTATAATGATCACAAAGCCTACTTTGTAGAATGCCTATGAATAAAACCACCTAAAACGCAAAATGACTAAAAGCAGCAGACAGTCCGAAGTAATAAGTTTGGGTACATATTAAAGACATGCTATTCGAAAATATTGCAATATGCTTAACAAAATCATTTGTTGCTAATTTAATAGTAGGTATACTAACTTTACCTAAAAGCAACATTTTTATATAATCATAATATATAATCTAACAGGTTCTCTAATCAATATGATTGAATAAAGGTTTCTTTATCGTCACAATATAATTTTAAAGTTTTGCTTTATTCTACAATTTTGCTTCAAATTTTGTTCTGCAAATTAGGTTTTATGATTGATCATAATAGATTTATTTTATCTTAATTGAACTAAGAAGGACTCTTGTCTGAACAGTTCCTGAAATTTATTTTCACTAGAGAAGCTACGCGCTCGTGGTAAGTCCTATTTTGCAACAAAAAAGTATCAGCTTTCCACACCGTTGATTGTGGACCATTGATGTGTAATACTAAAAATATTATAGATTTATTAGTTTCTTTATGGGTACTTCAACGGCGAAGCGCAGGGGGAGCACAATGCGTAATGATGATATGATTGGACCGGTGAAGACGACCCCCAACTATCAAAAGCAGTGCCTAATACGCCGTATAAAATGACGCTTTCAAAATATTTTGCAAACAATGCGGAACCCTTCTCGCCCCTGCGGTTGAACCTGCCGTGTTAATTGTGTCGTCGTGAAACTCTTATTAACAGGCCATAAGGTTCATTATCTCAATTGTACGGTGGAATTAGTTTGTGAATTGGAGACGTCTGGTGCAGACCGCATTTAATCAAACAAGCGACTCAATAGCTTCAAGCGTTACCACGATTTCCATATTAGAGTAGTATGCAGCGTTTTTAGCATATCAGGGTTACCACATGTAGCATTGATATATTTACAAGGGTTTCATACTTTTATAGTAGGACGTAGGAGTTTACTGTTGCGTCATCAAGTCTGAGACTTTGTACGTCAGTTAAATTCTAAAAAAAGAATGGACACATATTTTAATAATAATAATAATAATGCGATATTTCAAATCAATATATCTCTGTAATGTTTTGATTATGTGAAAAAAGAATTGAACGTGTCTAGTACTTTATGATAATCTACCTAATAGACGAAGAAGAAAAAGTTAGTCATTATCCCTATTAAGCTTCATACTTACATGTTCTCTTGTGCATTTACAGACAGATAAAGTTAGTAAATAGTTAACAGAGTTTATTTCAAGAACACATCGGGTTTGTACCTATATGAAAATGCGGTGCGGTAGTTTCCGCTTGATTTGGATGGAGGATCCTGGGAAAGCAACCTGGTTGTTATTTTACTCTGTTGCAGCAACCTCCACAAGATCACAGTAAAATAACACTAACTTTTGGTGCTGTTGTGTATGTTTATAAAGGACCCAGGGCTGCACTGGGTTAGGGATTCTGGCCAGCTAGGTATGGATAGTAACAGGAACTTCATACTTTTATACCGCACCACTTGTCTTTGACTCACCTAAAACTTAATAAAAGCTGTGCCTCATAAAAATAATTCAATGAAAGACAACCCTGAAGGACACTTTGTATTCTTGAGAATTACATTTATTTTGTGTTACAAGATAATCTTAAACCACGATTATAATTAAGTTTTAATGATTTCCTACAATACAAATTTTCAATTGGTGTCCTGTTTTGTGCAATATAAGTT